GGGGGAACGACCCCTGTCCCTGCCTCAGTTTCCCCTCCCCGCATGTCCCGTTCCCCCCGACCCCTTTCCCTGCCTCAGTTTCCCCTCCCGTCACCTGCATGTCCCATTTCCCCCTGCCCCTTTCCCTGCCTCAGTTTCCCTCCCCTCCCCGCATGTCCCCCTGACCCTGTCCCTGCCTCAGTTTCCCCTCCCCGCATGTGCCGTCCCCGCTGACCCTGTCCCCCCCCCAGACGTGCGGGTGCAGCGGCTGCTGCTGTCGCTGCTGTGTGACAGGGACCTGGCCAAGGTGACAAACTGCATGGAGCACGCGCTGCGGGCGCGCCACCCGCGCAGCCGCTACAGCGCCGGCTGGGACGCCAAGCTGCTCTGGCTGCCGGCCTCCTACCTGCCCTCGGCCCTCGTGGACCTGGCCCTGGCCCTCGTCCTGCCCAGGCCGGCCCAGGGCGGCCGCTGAGAGACCCCAGACCCAATTGAAACCCCCAGACCCGAATTGAGCACCCCAGGGGGAATAAATGCCCTGAACTAGTCTGTCCTTGATTTCGCTCAGCTCGGGGGATTTGGGGACAGTGAGGTGGCACTTGGGGCATCACAGACGTGGCCCTGGCCCTCATCCTGCCCAGAGCAGGCACTGAGAGACCCCAGACCCAAATTCAACCCCCAGACCCAAATTAAACCCCCCCACGATGGTTTAATAAATGTCCTGAACTCGCCCGTCCTTGTTTTCGCTCAGCTCGGGGGATTTGGGGACAGTGAGGTGGCAATTGGGGCATCACAGATGTGGCCCTGGCCCTCATCCTGCCCAGAGCGGCCACTGAGAGACCCCAGACCCAAATTCAACCCCCAGACCCAAATTAAACCCCCCCACGATGGTTTAATAAATGTCCTGAACTCGCCCGTCCTTGTTTTCGCTCAGCTCGGGGGATTTGGGGACAGTGAGGTGGCAATTGGGGCATCACAGATGTGGCCCTGGCCCTCATCCTGCCCAGAGCGGCCACTGAGAGACCCCAGACCAAACCGAAACCCCCAGACCCAAATTAAACCCCCCCACGATGGTTTAATAAATGTCCTGAACTCGCCCGTCCTTGTTTTCGCTCAGCTCGGGGGATTTGGGGACACTGAGGTGGCATTTGGAGACTCATGGACCTGGTCCTGGCCCTCATCCTGCCCAGGCCGGCCCAGGGCGGCCGCTGAGAGACCCCAGACCCAATTGAAACCCCCAGACCCGAACTGAACACCCCAGGGGGAATAAATACCCTGAACTAGTCTGTCCTTGATTTCGCTCAGTTCGGGGGATTTGGGGACAGTGAGGTGGCACTTGGGGCATCACAGACGTGGCCCTGGCCCTCATCCTGCCCAGAGCGGCCACTGAGAGACCCCAGACCCAAATGAAACCCCCAGACCCAAATTAAACCCCCCCAGACCTGAATTAAACCTCCCCAGGGGGAATAAATGTCCTGAACTCGTCTGTCATTGATCTGCTTGGGGTTAAAAGGTGATTTGGGGACACTGAGGTGGCATTTGGAGACTCATGGACCTGGCCCTGGCCCTCATCCTGCCCAGGCCTGCCCAGGGCGGCCACTGAGAGACCCCAGACCCAATTGAAACCCCCCAGACTCAAATGAAACCCCCCAAGGGTGGGCATTGAACGCCCTGAACTCGCCTGTCTCTGTTTTTGCTCAGCTCGGGGGATCTGGGGACACTGAGGTGGCACGTGAGGATCTGGGGACATGGAGGTGGCACACGGAGCCCCCAGAACCAGACCCCAGCCCCACGGGGTCAGTGGGGCTCCCAGCCCCATTCAGGGGGGTCCCAGCCCCTTTTGGGGGGGGTCTCACCTCGAAGAAGGCGATGCCCAGCGCCACGGCCGCCACCACCAGCATGTTCCTCCTGACCCAGGCCTCGAGGCTCGGCAGGCAGCCCTGGGGAGGGGGCACGGCGGGGGGGGTCAGGGGGCTCGGGGACCCCCCTGGAGGGTCAGGGTGAGGAATTGGGGAGGGGTCTCACCCTGGTGAAGACGGTGGCCGGGCTGGGCCGGACGTTGCAGCCGGCGCTGGGCTGGCGGCAGCAGGAGCTGGGCACGGAGTCGTTGGCCCTGAACTGCTCCAGGCTGGCCCAGTCCGTGTAGTTATCCACCCCACAGCACGAGAACTGCCCGGAAAAAGGGTCAGCCACGGCGGGGGGGGCTCCAGGAGCAGCCCCCTCCCCAAATGGGGGCTGCCCCCCAGGCTCACCTCCTGCTGGAAGGCGTCCAGGGCGGCGGTCAGCGACGGGTCCTTGTCGTAGCTTCTCACGGCCTCCCAGAGCCCCTCCTCCACCAGCCCGTGCACCTGGGGGGGCACG